CTTTGTGTTTATATTTCTGGCCCTAACAAGGCCACAACAAAACCCTTTAAATTATTCTCTTTGTTTTTGAGCCTCTGTTCATTCTCGCCCACCCCCAAGTAATTCCGCATGTCTTCACTCGCCTTTGTATATGCTTGTATTACAGTTTCTGTTAATATATTTGTTTAACTCAATTCCTCTCTTTGTGTCTTTAATCCTGGCCCCTAACAAGGTCACGACCCTATATCATTTCCAACGTTGTATATCATGTGCTTAGCCAGAACTACATAATGTTTTGAAATCACTATTGCTCTTGTCCTTTACTGTTTGCTAACCACGGCTAAAGATCTCAGTGTATCCAATTATTTAACCTATAGCTAGTAATGGAAGAAATGGATACATGCATTTAAGGACGGTATTTATGTGGAACTGAGCTGCCTCCACGTTCTATGACTTTGAGCGAAATTGTGTATTCCATTATGGAAAAAAAAAAATTGATAAATTCTTCGGGCAAATACAGGAATTTTTAAATGGTTTGACAGGTGTTTCTGTAGGTAGCAAACAAAATCTATTTTGGAGGGAGAAGAAAGTCCTAGCCTAAATCTGTAATCATTCGCTGCGTCGTATTTGCAACTTGAGTCCAGGCTTTTTTTCATGCTACAAAAATCCCCCGTTGGTTCTAGAAATATTTAATTTGAACGAGTTGACTCTCCCTCTTTTCATTTGATACGAAGTTCACATAGTGCGTGTTATTTATTTGGAGAGTCACTACAATGCTTGATTTCTAATTTCTAATATCTTACAGTGCATTCTTTTGACGTTGCATAAAGGTGCACTCGGATCCCATCGGCAATTATTAAAAGTATGACCCACTATCGTTTCACAATGCTTGTGTAAGTATACATGCATTATAGTTTCTCTCTATGGGACGTGTGTATATATAACTTTGTGTATGTCCTAAGTATATAAAACTCTCCCTGAGAACAAAGCATGTTTGCTATTCTTTTTCTTTCAGCTTTTTCGTCCGTGATATATAGTGTTATTATATCCTAGTCATATTAATACTCATAATGGGTAAAATACAAAACTGGGAATATTCCTTTCTCGCATAGCTCTCCTATTATCTCGTGACTTAACTATGTGATGTGATATTAATACGCCATTGTAACTTTAAAGATACTTCTAAAATTTCTCTAACACTGACCACAAGATGATGGCATAATATAAAATCATTGTCATTTAGTGAAGATACTGACAAGAGTGTGTGCATGTTAGGTTTCTCAGGCAGTTGGAAAATTGAGTGATCAGGTAATATCAATTTTGCTGATGATAGCGATGATGATGATGATGATGATGATAATCATTGGACTGGTTCCTCGATATTTAATCAGTAACGAGTGTTTCTTGTTAAAAAATTACAAAAAAAATAAAAAAATAAAAAAGGAAGTAAATGATAAAAAAAGCATGAAATGAAGGAAAAATAGCGCACACGGTTGCTTTGAAATATTATTGAGTTAGTGTGCTTAGAGAGCAGAACACTGGACAGTGATTTAATGAAGAGTAGACCGACTGATACACAAAACAAGTCCGGCTTGCATACATTTAATTATAGCGTTTCTCCTCTTGAGGCAGAAGAAATCAGTCTATTTCATAACGTCTGTCCACATCTAATTCAGTCTGTGCAAATCTATCTATCTATCTATCTATCTATCTATCTATCTATCTATCTATCTATCTATCTATCTATCTATCTATCTATGTCAATCTGTTTCTATCTATTTATCTAT